TCTGCGTTACCTGCGGTGACTTTCACTGCACACAAGAATGCTTAGAAAATAAAGAAGATTCAGCACTAAGAAAGTGTAGCAACTGGGGAGGGAACCACATGGCTTCCCAAAAAGTATGCTTTGCGATTCTTCAGTTCCTAAATATTGATATCATTCCTTTCTCGGAAGCCCAAAAATCGGTCGGAGTTCTTTTGCACTCAGGAAATTTTTTTGATGAATGATTTTCTGCGGGTTTTTAAAAAACCGTAATTTTGATATTGTAAATTGTAACTTCCTGGTCTGCCACAGAAATCACTCTAGCTTCAATTCCGCTTTAATTATTTTTAAGGGATGCCACAGACGTTGTTTTTCCGCTGATTAGGAATCGCTGACTATTGGGCCAGTTATTTTACATTTTGGACGTTGATGCACTATGGTCAGTACAAACAAGGGGCCCGTACGACACCAAGCAATGCTTGTTTCGCACGGACTCCAGGGGGCGTTTTAAACGAGAACGCGAAAAGTAAAAGAAAAGGGACAATAAAGGAACGGAGGGACTAATTTAAAATACATACGAAACAAGTAAATAAGTAGGATAAGATTAATGTTTTTAAAAACGGTAAAGAGTCAGTAGTAGAAATGATGTGTGTAAGGATGCTCTCTGGCCGGGTTACAGATCTCAGTCAGATCCAGGAGTCCTTTACAAGAAATTTGTAAATCACCGAAACACCGGACTAGAGAGTTTCATTCAACGAGTGAATGAGTCGTTTGGGGGATCACGCCGAAGGTTCTCATGGACGCCGGGAGAGGGAGAGTAGTGTCGGAGTTGATTGCGCCGTATCTCGCTCCGGAGTTAAAAATCCCACGGGATTTTTCCACCGGACTGAACCTTCGGGCGAGGCCAAGCCGGGTAGAATTTGTCGGACGTGGGGGGATTGAAGGGAAAAGGATGGCGGTATGACTGACCAGTCGGGAATGATGTCCACGCGCAGATCAAATGCACTACGAGGAGGAAAGCTAGGGTACTAGACCAGACGGGCCGGGTGTCCGCGTGCCGGTTGCATGCGCTACGAAGGGGGAATCTAAGATACTAGACCGGACGGGACGGGTGTCCACGTGCGGGTCTCAAATACTATGATGTGGGAAGTTAGGATACTAGACCAGACGGGCCGGGTGTCCGCGTACCGGTCGCATGCGCTACGAAGGGGGGGAATCTAAGATACTAGACCGGACGAGACGGGTGTCCACGTGCGGGTCTCAAATACTACGATGGGGGGGGCAAGATACTAGACCAGACGGGCCGGGTGTCCGCGTACAGGTCTCAAATACTACTAAGAGGGAAGCTAAGATACTAGACCAGACGGGCCGGGTGTCCGCGTACAGTTCTCAAATACTACGGGGAGGGAGGCTAGGATACTAGACCAGACGGGACGGATGTCCGCGTACAGGCCACGTGCACTACGTTGAAGGAAGCTAGGATACTAAGAATAAAAAGAATCACAAACGGGGGATTTAACCTTTTACTTCTTCTCTTTATTTTTTTTTTTTTAGATTATTTTTATTTATCTACTATCCTCCTACGAGTCCGCTACACCGTCTTTACTTAACGGTGAGGAATTTTATGAACACTAACCTCAAAACACTGATCAGCCCACTTATTCATTGGTCGCCTGTCGTCGCGCGGTCGGGGCGTCACTCGGATTAAACGGAAAATCGCTGCGGGAGACACGTCCGCCCGTCTTGCTATTCCGACACGAGAGACCGCTTCCTCGATCGGTGTTTGACCACCTTCCCCACGCTCCCTTTTTCTCGTTTTTCCGGATTCCTAGTATGTTCCTTAATTTCTAGTATTTTCTATTCCTCACTAAATATCGGCTGGCGTTGCCACTCGAGTTTGGAACCTAACTACGACTTAATATTCGGTTTCAACTTAATTTTTATTATCCATTATGCGTCGTTAACACCTATAACCTTACATACTATTAACTTAATATTTATTATTCATGATAAGTCGATAATTGTATCGTACACCGTCTAGGTGTGTACGTTAGTGGCTTCTGCGTAGTATGGTTTGAGCTGGGATATGTTGGCGATCCGTCGCCGTCGATCTCCGGGACGTTGCAAGCGTACCAAGTTCGGAGATGTGAACTTCGTAACGGCGTAAGGGCCGTCATACTTGGGAGCAAGTTTGGCGGCGAGTCCCTCGGCTGCTTTCGATAAGGGATGCTGTCGCAGCCAAAATTGACCGCCGAGCGTGGTTCTCCATTCTCGCCTTCGTAGTTTATAATGTCTCGCATGATCTTGAGACACTCGTTGAAGATTTGATCGTACGATGTTGAAGATTCCTTTGAGGTGAGACGCCTTGTCTTCAGGACCTGTATGCACGACTGCCGATCCGGGGGTGAGTTCATCATACAGCATCGCAGGCAAGCGTGGTTCCCGTCCTTGAGATAGGAACGCGGGGCTATACCCCGTATACTGCTATTGATCGCGAGGGATATCTCTGGCAACATATTATCACACCAACTCTGGTCGCCTTCCGACAGCTGGGATATCAGCGTCTTCACAGTGCGGTTGGTCCTTTCTGTGGGATTCTCCTGTGGACAATATGGAGCCGTGTACTGGATATCTATGGCGAGCTTGGCGAAATAGTCCTTTAGGACCCGGCTTGTGAATTGGGTTCCATTGTCGCATACGAACTTCCGGGGAATGCCCACTCGTGCAAGTATGCGCTTCCGAAACGCTTTCTGCACTTGAGCTACGGTGGCTTTCCGGAGTAGTATCAGTTCTACCCATTTCGAGAATACGTCGTAAAACACCAGAAGCATAGTATTCCCTTGTTTCGACCGGGGTAGTGGGCCTACAAAGTCCGCACAGAGAATGTGTAACGACCTTATTTCTATGTATTCTCGCTCGCTACGTTAACGGGCGGCTAGCTCAGAGAGGTTATGGGTTCGTTCCACCAAATTTATATTGGGTGTTTGCCTTTGACCAATGAATAACGCAAGAGTTCTGTTGGGATCGTAACTGTCTTTATTCGTCTCCTTGTACGAGCCTCGCGGCTCTTCAGCTGCTGCTGCTCCTCGTCGTCGTCCTCTGCGGCGTCGCTCCTCGTCGCTGTCCTTCGCGGCGTCGCTCCTCGTCGTCGACTGCTTGCTGGTATCTGCCTCGTGACGGCTCCGTCGAGACTCTGGATGTTATGCGAACCTCACTATCGGGACCGGCAAGGTGTTTCGCCTAGCAGGTAGAACGCCGTTCTGCCTCTTCGCCTAGCTACCTTTATCGCAGGCTCCCTAAGTCTGTCCGGATTGTGTCGGCAAGGTGTATCGCCTAGCCGGTTGAACCGGTCGACCTCTTCGCCCAGCCACCTTTATCGCAGACTCCACGCAAGGACTCCCTGAGCTCGATTTAACCACGACCTAGCACCCTTTGGATCTCAGCGTTGAAGCCTCAGCCTTGTAGACTCTCAGTCGTTCGGCGTCTCGACTTTGCGATCTTGATCCTGGTACTCGGCACTTGATTAACTTGCTACTAGTCTCGCGAACACCCACTCGCTTTGATTCTCGCACTATTACTCTCTTTGTGTGCTGCGCTTGCGCCGCCTTTAATAGCCTGTGATGGTCCCGTTATTTCCCTTTTCCAGCTCGCGTGATCGGGTCCAAGGTCCACTGCCGCACCGTTAGTTCACGGTGCGTCCTCTTTGTGCGGGTCCGAAGTCCGCCAAATTACCGTTCGACCCTGTTACCCTTGCCGTATGAGGGTCCAATGTCCAGCGTGGTACCGTTAATTCACGGTGTCTCCGCTTTGCCCGGGTCCAAGGTCCGTTGTTTACCGTTTGACCTTGTTGCCCTTGACTCCTCCGGCATTCTCGCCTCCTTCGCTGTTGCTATGCAGCTCTCCTGCCTCGGAATTTGTGGGGAGTTTTAGGACTCCTCACATATCCCCCATATCCCACATAGCCCAAACTCGTTCTCCTCGTGACCCTATACAGTTCCCCAAAAGACTTCAACTTTCCCTGAGCTGCCCTCGTAAGACTCCCCCCAGACAGCGCTCTGAAAGACCTTTAACTTTCCCATGGCAGTGCTGCGTTAGCCTGTTCCCCAGACAGTTCCCCGAAAGACTTGAACTTTCCCGAAACTGCATCTTGTTCCTTCGATAATTCCCCGCGTAGAATTTGAATTTCCCGCCCAGACATTTCCCCGTGTTTGACATCACCATTCCGATTCCCGTCGTCTGACCACACCTCGATCGCACTTATCGATAGTGGTTCCAGCATTGCCATCGTTGTTGCCGTTATCGTTTCCGTTGTCTTAAGTTGCCTCCGTGTGACCGTTTCTTGAGAAATCCAGTATTTCTTGTACCCATCGATCGCAACTATCGATCGACCGCCTATCGCCTGGCGCCCCCGTCCCTAATTTCCTCACGGCCTCGTTGTTTTGAAAAAACTGGTAAGTTAACTTGCTGATGATAGTTTTCCTTTAATTAACGACTTGTTTCTTTACAGCGACACCATGACCATGATGCCCCTGACATGTCTCGGGGTGCTGACCCTGGACCGCGTGCCCCGGGAGACCCTTGCGGCGGCAAGTGACCCCCCTCGCCCTACGCCTGCGGCAGCCTCGTGTTTTCTGCCGGCCCGCGTGCTTGGCCCCGCGATTCCCCCCCTCACCGCCCCCGTTCCGCGATCGGCTGCTGCGGCGGACCACTCTTTTTTTCTGTGTTGTGTCTTGTTGTGATCCCCTGCCCAAAAAATAACTGCTGGGCTCGAATGCTATTATCTGTTTATTGGGCCTTAAACACCCGCACCCGGCCCCCTGCTACCTTGACTCGGTAGCGCTGTCCCTCCTCCAGCACGAGCTTGGCCCACCTGGCCTTCCTCTGCCTCCCTCGCTGTCGCTGGCTTCGGCCACCCGCGCCGGCCAATCCGCCTCGGAACATCCGCCCACGGTTCCGCGCCCTCCGACTGCTGTCTCCTGCAGCGTCGGCCTCGGCGGTGGGGCTCGCGACTCCGGGCACGACGTCTACCGCGCCAGCTTCGGGGTGGCGCCGTGTCCCGCGACGTCTCCGGCGGGGTGGGCCACTCCCATGGCCCCTTCTCCAGCCCCTCCTGGGCCTCGCGTTCCTCCTCGGTCGTCACCTCCAGCCCCGCGCGATCGGCCGTCTCCGCGACGCGTTTCGTCGACCTGGCCCTCGGATCGCGCGGGCTCAGCGGCGGTGGGCGCCGCCACTCGATGGCTTCGATGGCCTCTCGCATCCTGGCCTCCTCTGCTGCCTCCTCGGGCGCGGGCCACGTCCACGTGACCGTCTGCCCACTCTTTGGGCTCGTCCGACGGTGGTATCTGCCCTAGGCAGATCCCTCCGAGCCCTGCCGTCGCCCTGCTCAACCGGCGGAAGATCATTCTTTCCCTCGCAGCTCGCCGCGTCACGTCGTCCTCGTCCGACGACACCTCGGGACTGACGGTCTCCGTCCCCTCCTCCTCCTCCTCACTCGCGTCCTCCGGTCCACTCTCGTCGGAAGAGATGGAAACGACCTCTGCGATCTCCGTCGCGTCTGCGCCTGGGTCCTCCTCCTCGGACGGTAGCTCCACGTCCGAGATCTCCCCGGTGGACTCCTCGTCCGCCTCGCTGACCGGTGACGGGGATCGCGACACCAGGGGACGCCAGAAGCTGGAGAACGGAATCGGAGTCCTGTCTCCACTTCGCCAATGGCTGTTTCCTGGCGCGCTCCCCCTCACCTCGTGCTCCACTCGCTGTTGGGTGTTATTCTCACGTGCGCTCATGATGACGATCTTGTTTGGAAAGACCTGCACCATGCAGCGCCGTCGCTGACGAAAACCTCGGTTCTTCCGCGTATCCTCGGTTCCGTTATTCGCGGAGACGTGTACCGGTAACGGTACTCGCTCTCCGCTCTGTGTCCGTGTAACGTTTACAAATAACGGTGCCCTCCGTGTACACGCCTCCTACGCAACCCGTGCATGTGTGTGTTTAGCCGGTAACGGTGCCTACGGCTTTTAAACCCTCCCTGTCCCGCTCTCGCGCTCCTGACTTGTGTGCCTGTGTGTGTGTGCTTGACCGTTAATTTCGATACTGTGTATCGTCCTCCCCCTTTCTTCGGTTAGGGTACAGTGCTCCTCCGATACGCCGGATTTGTTGAGACTGCCCCTTTTTTGCTTTGTGGTTTTAACTGGCTTATGTGTGTTTTCCTTTCCTTGCCCGTGTGTTCGTGCCGCAGGTTGCAAATAACCGGAGAATCGAAATTAATTATTTTAAACGGTCCCTCGTATCTGGGGGCCAGTTTCGCCGCGAATCCTTCTGCCGCCTTGGATAGATGGTGCTCCTTGGCCCATACCGTGTCTCCAATCTGTGATTTCCAAGGGCGCCTCCGGAGATTGTAGTGGCGCGCCTGATCCTGCGCCGCCTTCTCCATGTTCCGTCTGACCAGCTCGAAGATTTGGTTTATTTTTTTCGCATTCTCCGACGGGGTCTGGGTTTCCCTTCCTGTGCCGGTGGTTTCTTCATTAAACAACGCGCTCGGTAACCTGGGCTCTCTACCCTGCGTGACGAATGCCGGCGAATACCCTGTGGACTCGGCTACACTAGTGTTCACGGCCAGCTGCAATTCTGGCCATTTCTCATCCCACGTTCTCTGGTCTTGTCCGGCAAACTGGGCGATCATTGTTTTACAGTTCTATTGGCCCTCTCCGTGGGATTTTTTGTGGTGTGTACGGGGCTGTGAACTGGTGCCGCACTCCCAACTCTGTCAGGAACCGCTTGAACGCCCTGCTCGTGAACTGAACCCCGTTATCGGTGATTAAGACCTTCGGCACGCCGTACCTTGAGACAATCCTTTCCCGGATTGCCTTTTCCAGCGTCTCCGTGGTAGCCCCTCCGCATTGGCACTATTTCCGTCCACTTCGAGAACCGATCTACGAGCACTAGTAGCATCGAGTTCCCGTGTTTCGACCGAGGAAGCGGCCCAACGAAATCGGCGCATACTGTGGCCCAGGGCTCCTCTGGGATCTGTGTGAGCATTTTTCCGGCAGCCTGGCCAATCCGCCTCGGAACATCCGCCCACGGTTCCGCGCCCTCCGACTGCTGTCTCCGCAGCGTCGGCCTCGGCGGTGGGGCTCGCGACTCCGGGCACGACGTCTACCGCGCCAGCTTCGGGGTGGCGCCGTGTCCCGCGACGTCTCCGGCGGGGTGGGCCACTCCCATGGCCCCTTCTCCAGCCCCTCCTGGGCCTCGCGTTCCTCCTCGGTCGTCACCTCCAGCCCCGCGCGATCGGCCGTCTCCGCGACGCGTTTCGTCGACCTGGCCCTCGGATCGCGCGGGCTCAGCGGCGGTGGGCGCCGCCACTCGATGGCTTCGATGGCCTCTCGCATCCTGGCCTCCTCTGCTGCCTCCTCGGGCGCGGGCCACGTCCACGTGACCGTCTGCCCACTCTTTGGGCTCGTCCGACGGTGGTATCTGCCCTAGGCAGATCCCTCCGAGCCCTGCCGTCGCCCTGCTCAACCGGCGGAAGATCATTCTTTCCCTCGCAGCTCGCCGCGTCACGTCGTCCTCGTCCGACGACACCTCGGGACTGACGGTCTCCGTCCCTCCTCCTCCTCCTCACTCGCGTCCTCCGGTCCACTCTCGTCGGAAGAGATGGAAACGACCTCTGCGATCTCCGTCGCGTCTGCGCCTGGGTCCTCCCTCCTCGGACGGTAGCTCCACGTCCGAGATCTCCCCGGTGGACTCCTCGTCCGCCTCGCTGACCGGTGACGGGGATCGCGACACCAGGGGGGACGCCAGAAGCTGGAGAACGGAATCGGAGTCCTGTCTCCACTTCGCCAATGGCTGTTTCCTGGCGCGCTCCCCCCTCACCTCGTGCTCCACTCGCTGTTGGGTGTTATTCTCACGTGCGCTCATGATGACGATCTTGTTTGGAAAGACCTGCACCATGCAGCGCCGTCGCTGACGAAACCTCGGTTCTTCCGCGTATCCTCGGTTCCGTTATTCGCGGAGACGTGTACCGGTAACGGTACTCGCTCTCCGCTCTGTGTCCGTGTAACGTTTACAAATAACGGTGCCCTCCGTGTACACGCCTCCTACGCAACCCGTGCATGTGTGTGTTTAGCCGGTAACGGTGCCTACGGCTTTTTAAACCCTCCCTGTCCCGCTCTCGCGCTCCTGACTTGTGTGCCTGTGTGTGTGTGCTTGACCGTTAATTTCGATACTGTGTATCGTCCTCCCCCTTTCTTCGGTTAGGGTACAGTGCTCCTCCGATACGCCGGATTTGTTGAGACTGCCCCTTTTTGCTTTGTGGTTTTAACTGGCTTATGTGTGTTTTCCTTTCCTTGCCCGTGTGTTCGTGCCGCAGGTTGCAAATAACCGGAGAATCGAAATTAATTATTTTAAACGGTCCCTCGTATCTGGGGGCCAGTTTCGCCGCGAATCCTTCTGCCGCCTTGGATAGATGGTGCTCCTTGGCCCATACCGTGTCTCCAATCTGTGATTTCCAAGGGCGCCTCCGGAGATTGTAGTGGCGCGCCTGATCCTGCGCCGCCTTCTCCATGTTCCGTCTGACCAGCTCGAAGATTTCGTTTATTTTTTTCGCATTCTCCGACGGGGTCTGGGTTTCCCTTCCTGTGCCGGTGGTTTCTTCATTAAACAACGCGCTCGGTAACCTGGGCTCTCTTACCCTGCGTGACGAATGCCGGCGAATACCCTGTGGACTCGGCTACACTAGTGTTCACGGCCAGCTGCAATTCTGGCCATTTCTCATCCCACGTTCTCTGGTCTTGTCCGGCAAACTGGGCGATCATTGTTTTTACAGTTCTATTGGCCCTCTCCGTGGGATTTTTTTGTGGTGTGTACGGGGCTGTGAACTGGTGCCGCACTCCCAACTCTGTCAGGAACCGCTTGAACGCCCTGCTCGTGAACTGAACCCCGTTATCGGTGATTAAGACCTTCGGCACGCCGTACCTTGAGACAATCCTTTCCCGGATTGCCTTTTCCAGCGTCTCCGTGGTAGCCCTCCGCATTGGCACTATTTCCGTCCACTTCGAGAACCGATCTACGAGCACTAGTAGCATCGAGTTCCCGTGTTTCGACCGAGGAAGCGGCCCAACGAAATCGGCGCATACTGTGGCCCAGGGCTCCTCTGGGATCTGTGTGAGCATTTTTCCGGCAGCCTGGAGGTGACTGGGCTTGTACCTGAGGCAGCTCTCACAGTTCCGCACGTGCTTCCTTATGTCGCGGTGCATGCCCGGCCAATAATACCTCGCTGCCACCCTCGCGATCGTCTTCCGGCTGCCCATGTGTCCGGCCGTCAGCGTATCGTGGTTCTCAACCATGACTCGCTGCCTTGACCCGCTTGGTACGCATAGCTTCCATGCGACCACATCCTCGTTGCCTGCTCTGTAAGGAATGTGCCAGTACAGCCGGTCGGCCTCCACTAAATAGTCCGGATATTTTTGGGTGTTCTGTGCTATCTTGCCCCTTATGTCCCTTATCCAGCTACATTCGGCTTGTTCTGCTGACTGACCAGGTGACTTCGTTTTCAACCTTCGGCAGGTTTCGGGTAAGGGCTGCCGCGACAGTGCGTCCGCCACAATATTCAGCTGGCCTTTCCTGTATGTGATTTCGAAGTCGTATTGCTGGAGCTCCAGTACCCACCGCGCGATTCTTCCGGTTGGGCTCTCGATGCTATTCAACCACTTCAAAGCCATGTGATCTGTTATCACTTTGAAGTGGTATCCCTCCAGGTATGGCTTTAATTTCCTTATGGCCCACACGATTGCTAAACATTCCTTTTCAGTGGCGGAGTAACTTTTTTGCGACCCGTTTAGGGTCCGGCTGGAATAGGATATCACCCGCTCACCCTGGTCGGAATTTTGAGTGAGAATGGCGCCCAGCCCATAATCGCTGGCATCGGTCTGCAGCACAAACGGCTTTGAAAAATCCGGGCATGCCAAAATTGGGTCGGCGACCAATCTTGCCTTGACAGCTTCAAAGGCCTGCTGGTGGTCGTCGGTCCATTCCCATTTGACACCCTTTCGGAGAAGGGCGTTCAGCGGATACACTAGCGTGGCAAAATCTGGCACAAAACGCCTGTACCACGACGCCACTCCCAAGTACTGCCGTAGTTCTTTGACATTTGCCGGTGGTTTTAGCAATGCTATCGCTGATACCTTTTCCGGATCCGTCCCGATGCCCTGGTCTGTAATGCGATGCCCTAAGTATTGAAGTTCCTTCCTGAAGAATTTACACTTATCCGCGTTTACTTTCAGGTTTACCGCTCGCAGCCTTCTGAATACTTCCTTTAGGTTCCGCATGTGCTCCTCTAGTGTCCGTCCGATGACGATTATATCATCCTGATACGCGAAAGCGTGCGGCATCATTTCAGGTCCAATTACCTAGTCCAACGCCCGCTGGAATGTTGCTGATGCCGAGTGCAAACCGAAAGGCATAACTTTCCATTGAAACAGGCCTTTCCCTGGCACTGTGAATGCGGTATACTGCCTGCTGGCTGCCTCCAACGGTATTTGCCAGTACCCGTCCTTTAAGTCGAGGCTGCTAATATATTTAGCTTCTCGGAGTTGGTCCAGGATGTAGTTGATCATCGGCATTGGATATGCATCCTTCACGGATTTTGCGTTGATCTGCCTGAAATCCACACAGAGCCTCCATTTCCCGGTCTTCTTTCTCACCATGACTATTGGTGAGCTGTACGGACTCCTTGACGGTTCGATGCATCCCTTTTCAAGTAGCTCGTCTACTTTGGCGTTGATCTCGCCCTGCATTTTTGGATTCTTCGGATAGTACCGCTGTTTGACCGGCTGATCGTCCTTCATGGTGATCCTGTGTACTGCCACGTTTGACGTGCCTTGCAGATTTTCCAGGCTCTCCAACTCGGTCTTTAAAAACTGGTCCACATCCTTCTCCGAAAATTCATTTGCGGCTTCCACGACTGCTACCGACAGTTTTTCCTCTAGCCAGCCTCGGTGTCTGTCCCTCGCCGGTATCATCACTCTGTGACCTGCGCATTTCACCTCGGCTCCGATTTTGGTGAGGAAGTTCCATCCTAGCACCAGTTCGTCAATCAATCCTGGGAGGATCAGCAGCTCCATCGACACTTTTCTTGTGCCAAGTCCGATTTGAATTTCTAACTGCGATTTTACGTCTCCGCATCTACCGTCCGCCATCCGTACTTGCCTCTTTGTGGGTCCAACCTTTCCTGCCGCCTGCAGCCTGTCCGCCAGCTCTTTGCTGATGAAACTCGCTGTCGCGCCGGTGTCCACCGTGGCCTTAACGTTCGCGTCACCTATGAGCACTGTGGCGGACAGTTGCATTTCTTCCGCCTTCAGGTCGCCCATTATTTTTGAGAGGCAGCACCTTACGATCCCTGGCCGCCCCTCGGAGGCTGGGATCGTTGCGCGTTTCCCGAACAGCACTCCACCGTTCGGACGCCTATCTTTCCGCATCGCCAGCAGAATGTGAGTCGCCGGTTCCGGCACTCCTTCGTCCAGTGGTCCGCGCCCCCGCATCTGCGACACGCGTTGGCCGGATTCTGTATAAATCCACTGCGATCGGCTGGTGCTCCGTGTTCCTGCGGCGTATGCCTCCGTAGCGCCTCCGTGTCCTCCTGGCACCGCCTACACACCGCACCCTGCTCTGCCCTTGGCCTTGGCACTGGGCGGTTCTGTGTCCTCTGGGAGTGGTTTTCCATTTCAAACTTCTCCCGTTGCTCCTCGAACTCGTCAGCCAGCGCCATCAGGGTGTCCAGGTGCCGACACTCGTACGGCCGGATAAACATTCGGAGGGTCGGCGTGCTGTTCTCCTTTATCCTGTTCAGGACTTCTTTGGCAGACATACCCAGGGGCCGCATCATCGTCTGCATGTCCACCATGTAATCTTTAAATTTTTCCCCGTATGTCTGCCTCCGCTGCCTGATCTGGTCCGCTAGCTTCTCCATGTAGCCTCGAGGAAGGAAATATCCTTGGAAGCTGAATATGAAGTCTCCCCAGTTGTCCCACTGCCGGTTGTTGGCTATGAACCACTTTAGGGCTCTGCCCTGCAGCAGCTCCGGAATTGCTCGTGGGATCTGGTTTATATCCAGACCATATGTCACGCTTGACCACTCCACCTGCTCCAGGAACTCCAGTGGCTTGTCGTTGCCGTCATACCGAAAGTTCCACTCTCGAACTTGCTTGGCCACCTTGGCGTAGTCCTGCGGATGTGGCCGTACGCTTTCTTTCCTCTCGCGGCTGCCTTCTCGCTGCCTGCCGTCGCTTGCCAGGCTCTGAATATCCAGGCTTGCTATAAGGCCTTTGGCATCTGCGGCTGTTAGCTTGAATTTTGGGACCGGCAGCTTCCGGAATTTGATCTCCAGACCTGCCACTAACTCTGCCACGACCGGGTCTTCTGTTATGCGGTCAACCGTCTCTGCCAGGGTCTTCCTCATCGCCTCTACCGAGCCCTCTAGTTCTATTCCCAGAACATTGCTCACCTCGGCGAAGTCCTCCTTCCTGAGATTATAAATCCAGGACTTTCCCATCTCAATCACTCATGGGCGCCAGATGTAACGACCTTTTTTCTATGTATTCTCGCTCGCTACGTTAACGGGCGGCTAGCTCAGAGAGGTTATGGGTTCGTTCCACCAAATTTATATTGGGTGATTGCCTTTGACCAATGAATAACGCAAGAGTTCTGTTGGGATCGTAACTGTCTTTATTCGTCTCCTTGTACGAGCCTCGCGGCTCTTCAGCTGCTGCTGCTCCTCGTCGTCGTCCTCTGCGGCGTCGCTCCTCGTCGCTGTCCTTCGCGGCGTCGCTCCTCGTCGTCGACTGCTTGCTGGTATCTGCCTCGTGACGGCTCCGTCGAGACTCTGGATGTTATGCGAACCTCACTATCGGAACCGGCAAGGTGTTTCGCCTAGCAGGTAGAACGCCGTTCTGCCTCTTCGCCTAGCTACCTTTATCGCAGGCTCCCTAAGTTGGTCCGAATTGTGTCGGCAAGGTGTATCGCCTAGCCGGTTGAACTCGGTTCGACCTCTTCGCCCAGCCACCTTTATCGCAGACTCCACGCAAGGACTCCCTGAGCTCGATTTAACCACGACCTAGCACCCTTTGGATCTCAGCGTTGAAGCCTCAGCCTTGTAGACTCTCAGTCGTTCGGCGTCTCGACTTTGCGATCTTGATCCTGGTACTCGGCACTTGATTAACTTGCTACTAGTCTCGCGTACACGCACTCGCTTTGATTCTCGCACTATTACTCTCTTTGTGCGCTGCGTTTGCGCCGCCTTTTATAGCCTGTGATGGTCCCGTTATTTCCCTTTTCCAGCTCGCGTGATCGGGTCCAAGGTCCACTGCCGCACCGTTAGTTCACGGTGCGTCCTCTTTGTGCGGGTCCGAAGTCCGCCAATTTACCGTTCGACCCTGTTGCCCTTGCCGTATGAGGGTCCAATGTCCAGCGTGGTACCGTTAATTCACGGTGTCTCCGCTTTGCCCGGGTCCAAGGTCCGTTGTTTACCGTTTGACCTTGTTGCCCTTGACTCCTCCGGCATTCTCGCCTCCTTCGCTGTTGCTATGCAGCTCTCCTGCCTCGGAATTTGTGGGGAGTTTTAGGACTCCTCACAAATGTCGAAAGGCTTACTGACGACCCGGGTTAGCATCTTACCTGCCGCTTTGGTTTGTTCCGTCTTAAACTTTTGACAAGATTCACAATGGCGAACATGGCGTTTCGCGTCGCGATACATACCGGACCAGAAATACCTCTGGGTCAGACGCGTAATCGCTTTTCGAACTCCCAAGTGTCCTGCGGACGGGGAATCATGACACTCACGTAAGACGCGGCCTCTACGGGAAGTTGGCACACAGAGCTTCCACGGGAAGTCGTCCTCATCGTCAGCTCGGTAGCCCATGATCCTGTAGAGCTGGTCGTTTTCGATCATGTAGTCGGCGAACTTCTCGGGTTCCTCCTGTATTTGGTCTTTTATCCTTTTAATCCAGTTGCAGTGGTCCTCGAGTTCGACAGCACCTTGCAGTGTGTCGGCCACGACGTTCAATTTACCTCGTTGATAGCGTACGTCGAATTGGAATTGCTGCAATTCTAGCGCCCAACGCGCTATTTGGCCGGAAGGGCTCTCAATAGAATTTAGCCACTTGAGAGCTAGATGGTCAGTAACGACCTCGAATCGATACCCTTCCAGGTAACACCGCATCTTCCTGATTGCCCAGGTTATGGCCAGACACGCTTTCTCCGTGGTAGTGTAGTTCTGTTCCGCGGGGTTAGTCTGCGGCTAGCGTATGCGATGACCTTCTCTTGACTTTCGGAGCCCTGTGATAAAACTACGCCCAAGCCGACGTCACTCGCGTCTGTTTGCAAAATGAACTTCTGGTCGAAATCCGGACAGCCTCATACGGGAGCAGTAGTCAGGTATCTTTTAATTTCTACCAAGGCGGCTTGCTGTTCTGGTCTCCAGGTCCACTTCATCGGTTGTACGATAGTCGCGAAACTAGGGACAAATCGCCGATACCACGAGGCCATCCCGATCCATTGACGGAGTTCCTTTAAGTTAGAGGGGCCTTCAACCCAGTCTTAATTCCGACACTGCTGATGACGTGTCCGAGGTAAACGAGTTTCTGCTTGAAGAAGCAACACTTCTTTGGTTTTATCCCTAAATTCGCCGCCCGCAATCTGCGGAAAAATTCCGAGAGATGAGTAAAGTGCTGTTCTTCTGTCGCGCTTATGATAATAATATCGTCTAGGTAAGCGAAGGCGACCGGTTCCATTTCCACGCCGATTACACTATCCAGAGCGCGTTGAAACGTGGCGCTGGCAGAATGCAACCCGAAGGGTATGACCTTCCATTGATACAATCCTCTCCCAGGAACCGTGAATGCTGTTTATTGGCGACTATCCTTAGCCATGGGAATTTGCCAATATCCGTGCTTCAAGTCCAACGTGGAAATATATCGGGCGTGGCGTAATTTCTCCTGGATGTGATTGATTCTCGGGACTGGATAGGCGTCGGGCACTGAGTGTGCGTTTAACTGACGGTAGTCTACACACATGCGCCAATCGCCTGTCTTCTTCTTGACCAATACGATGGGAGCGCTGTGCGGGCTTCTGGAAGGTTCGATGGCCCCGTCACGGAGCAGTTCGTCTACTTGGGCATCGATGACATGTTGCATCACGGGGTTCCGGGGATAATACCTTTGTTTTACGGGCTTGTCGTCGCGCGTGACGATAATGTGCTCGGCGACGTGAGACACCCCATGCAGCTTCTCGAATAAGGCCAGTTCCCGATCGATGAAGCTTTGTTGCGCCGGACTCAATAGTGTGCCCTTTTGCTGTTCGTCGTTTTCTACCGTCTCCATCCTAATGGCCGCGCCGGCATTGATGTTCGGGGTCATAGCTCGCGTAGGAATAGGACTGGGTGTCTCTGCTTCTTCTGGCCTGGCAGATCCCAAATGGGCATCAACCGCAACAGGGCGTACCGTTTCCTCCTGGCTACCCCGCGGCTTTATAAGTACTGGCTGTAAGAGAGGGTCTCCTGCCGCTAGGGCTTCATTTTGCAAGTCGAGGGTAGCTCGACCACATCGCACCTGAGTTCCCGCTACTTTGAGGAAGTCCATTCCAAGTATTACACGATTTAACATGGTGGGCATTACTAACATAGGTAAGAGCACCGTAGTGCCGGACAACGTAACCGAGGTTCGCCAGAGCTTCGTCACATCCAGACATGACCGGTCGGCCAACGCTATTCTAGTGACAACATCCTGTAACTCGTCTGCACTCGCGGCCAGTCGAGTAAAACTTTCACTGACGTAACTCCTCGATGCCCCTGTATCAATGGTGGCGTCCACCCGTTGTCCTTCAACTTCTATCGCTGCTGTGATGAGCCCGCCGTGTAATCTCAACGGGAGTTTTACTGGGGTCGGGTTGCTGCTCCGTTTGTCTCCGCCGCACCCGGGCTCCGACGGAGGCATTCTCCGTTTCCCGACACATTTCGACGGCAACATTCTATAGTTAAAACTCCTGGTCGCCCACAGTCCCAACAGAAATCCCGACGTGGGTTGGGGCAGTTCCTTTGGAGATGTCCGTTCTCTCCACAGCGATTACAAGCCCGCCGTGTGTCCACTCATGAGGTTCCTTGACTGATCATCTGGTGGGTCACGTGTCCTGTCTGCGTTGAATTTACCGGATTCCGGAATGGGTTCGGCGATCGGCGAAGTTGAGGTTCTTCTTGGTTCCTGTCCATGGTGGCTTTTGGCTCCCGTCGAGTCATCTCGAGTTGTTTGACACTCTCATATTCTGTGGCCATATGAGTCAACTGTGTCAAAGTCGCGAATTCACTGCGTTTAATATACAGTCGGTATTCTGGAGCTATGTTTACATATGCCCGGTACAATTCTTCCTCTTCTCGATAACCGGCTTGCTGCATTTTGGTTCTGAGCTCGATCAAGTAGGTCTTAAAAGGGTCTCCTCTCCGCTGCACGAGGGTCCGTATCTCATCTTCCAACCGCTCGAAATATCGAGGTGGTAGGAAGAAAACGAGGAATTCCCTGCTGAAAGTTCCCCATGAGGTCGACTGTAGGTGGCTCGTGCGAAACCACCGAGCCGCCGGGCCCTCCAAGATCTCGGACATAACGCGGGGTACCTCCTCTGGATTTATCATGTAAGTCGCCATCTTTTCCTCGAGCGCGGCGATGAGAGTCAACGGATCCGAACTCCCATCAAACCGTAAATTCCATTTGTTCATCTTCTCGGGGAGCAGATGTTGAGTTGGAGCCGTGCTGCTCTGTGTGTCTCGCCCTTGTAGATCGGCGGGAAAGCGGGCGTCTACCGGTGGCATCCAGGTGCCGTGCGTCGATCCTGGGTGGATCCCTCGATGGCGGGCTGGAGTCCCGATCGATGTAGCTCCGGAAGTCATGGGAATGGTGAGTGATTCCGTGAATTGTCCCGTCTCACCGTTCCTGCCTGGAGGGTTCGGACTTGGGGCCCGGCTACTATATTGCTCCTGCAACTGAGCCAGTCGGTCTCACACACTCTTTCTTCCTTGTCTTCCTTCCTTCCTGATCTCCTCGACGGTTCCGTCGGCTTTAAAACCAAACTCCAGGGCGAGAGAGCTGGGTTCGTCTTTTCGGCGAGCGTATATCCAGCGGACTCCTATACCTGGATTCTTAACAAAATCGGCTTCTTCGTACTCACCGTCAGATTCCTTGGGGTTATTCCTTGGTTGGTTGTCCTCTTCTATTTAGTTCGGTGTTTACTTCCTTCTCAAGTCTCCTAGATCCTTCCGGAGATCGGACGTGAACGGTTTGGGTGACTCTACCCTTCTTTTTCTTCAGTGGGTCTTTAAGTCACTTGGGTGATCTAGCTAGTCTCGGTGTCCCTGCTCGGGTGCCACTTGTAAGGATGCTCTCTGGCCGGGGTACAGATCTCAGTCAGATCCAGGAGTCCTTTACAAGAAATTTGTAAATCACCGAAACACCGGACTAGAGAGTTTCATTCAACGAGTGAATGAGTCGTTTGGGGGATCACGCCGAAGGTTCTCATGGACGCCGGGAGAGGGAGAGTAGTGTCGGAGTTGATTGCGCCGTATCTCGCTCCGGAGTTAAAAATCCCACGGGCTGGACCTTGGGGCGAGGCCAAGCCAGGCGAACGACTTCACGAGGGTGGGAACGCCGGGTAATCCCACTGGTCACTTCCGCGATTGAGACACGTAAGACGTTTTCCGCGTGTCAGAGGCCAAAAATCCACCGGGCTGAACCTTCGGGCGAGGCTAAGCCAGGGCACTATTTCGCGAGACTGGGGCCGGCAGGAGACGTCACGCACAAGTCGTTTTCGACGTATCGGATACCAAAAATACACCGGGCTGGACCTTCGGGCGAGTCCAAGCCGGGTAGAATTTGTCGGACGTGGGGGGATTGGAGGGAAAAGGATGGCGGTATGACTGACCAGTCGAGAATGATGTCTACGCGCAAATCACATGCACTACGAGGAGGAAAGCTATGGTACTAGACCGGACGGGCCGGGTGTCCGCGTGCCGGTCGCATGCGCTACGAGGAGGAAAGCTAGGGTACTAGACCAGACGGGCCGGGTGTCCGCGTACCGGTCGCATGCGCTACGAAGGGGGGAATCTAAGATACTAGACCGGACGGGACGGGTGTCCACGTGCGGGTCTCAAATACTACGATGTGGGGGGCCAAGATACTAGGCCAGACGGGCCGGGTGTCCGCGTACAGGTCTCAAATACTACTAAGAGGGAAGCTAAGATACTAGACCAGACGGGCCGGGTGTCCGCGTACAGGTCTCAAATACTACGGGGAGGGAGGCTAGGATACTAGACCAGACGGGACGGATGTCCGCGTACGAGGAAGGAAGCTAGGATACTAAGAATAAAAATAATCACAAACGGGGGATTTAACCTTTTACTTCTTCTCTTTATTTTTTTTCTAGATTATTTTTATTTATCTACTATCCTCCTACGAGTGCGCTACACCGTCTTTACTTAACGGTGAGGAATTTTATGAACACTAACGTCAAAACACTGATCAGCCCACTCGGATTAAACGGAAAATCGCTGCGGGAGACACGTCCGCCCGTCTTGCTATTCCGACACGAGAGACCGCTCCCTCGGTCGGTGTGTGACCACCTTCCCCACGCTCCCTTTTTCTCGTTTTCCGGATTTCTAGCATGTTCCTTAATTTCTAGTATTTTTTATTACTCACTAAATATTGGCTGGCGTTGCCACTCGGGTTTGGAACTTTACTACGGCTTAATATTCGGTTTCAACTTAATATTTATTATCCATTATGCGTCGCTTACACCTATAACCTTACATACTATTAACTTAATATTTATTATTCATGATAAGTCGCTTACACCTATAACCTTACATACTGCTAAAAATTGTATCGTACACCGTCTAGGTGTGTACGTTACATGTGATAGAGGTTATTATAGTCATTACATAGTACTCTAAAAGGTTCAAGCATATCATAGTTAAAAAAAGGGAATATAGTTTCTAGTAATTCTTTAAGGCACAGAGAAATGTACGCTACCCATTAGTTCGGGACTCTCCTATTCTCCGTAAATATGTTTACGAATTAAGTAATACCAAGCAGCGTTCCACGAATAGAAGAAGTCTACTAGGGTAAGATGGTAAGATTAGAATTAGCCTTTTTATTAAGGCCCCGTAAGCAAATAGTAAAAAGCTCTTGTGCACAGACTCTATCCGGTCTATTTGTAAACTAAATTGGGGACTTCAAACTGGAGAGCAATACTCCATGATTGGACGAACTAATGAAATGAACAAAGTCTTTGTGACATAGGGATCATCAAATTGCTTAGACCACCTTTTTATAAATCCAAGCACTCAACTGGCTTTATTTACCATGAATGTAATAAGGTCGGAAAACTTAAGTTTTGGGTCCAAAAAGACGTTCAGGTCATTAATTCTAATTCTATTCATCTCAAAACTACCTAACGAATATTATGGGTTGATTCGATAAAATTAAATTATTTTGCATTTAGTGCTGTTAAACTCCAATAGATTTACAGAACATCATGTTTGAAAAGCATTAAAGTCCGTTTAAAGGTTTGACCAGAGGAAAATATCGCTATGTTGCAGGCATAACTTAACGTCATCTGCGTAAATTTCAACGTCGTTTTATCAAAACCATGTTATTCATATTGGAAGATTGCAAAATAAAGTAGTGACCCGATTTTCTTCATTTAACTTTTCTTTAAAGAGTAATCCATGGACACGAAAAAAAATCATTTTTTTTTACCATTTTTAGCGCAACAACTTATGCGAAAAAATCCAAATCCAACCAAATTTGTATGGTCAATTTTTGAATTTTTTAAAAACCGTAGAATATTGACTGTTAAAACCTTCTTTACTGGAATAACGTTTGATTTTATGTTTTCAGATGAAAATTGCGGAAAGGATCTAATACCCCAATTTCGATGTCAACGGCGACACGACTTGCGAGAACTGGTATAAGTCAATCCAATTTTAATTTTTAATAATGTAAAATATGTTTCTTATTTCCTCAAACATTGCACTAAATATTTATGACTTTTATTTTATGTGCAGTGTTTTCATTTTGACAAAAAAAATCGCAAAAAATCACTTTTTTCGGCCTCAACGGATGCTTCCCCCCTTAACATTATAAATTTAGTTTACACTTGACAATAATTCGAGTTTAAGATAAACTTCCTGTTCTTTGTTTTGATTTTTCTAGGAAAAACAAAAGACTTACCAAAAATTAAGCAAACTTCGGCAAGCCGAAGTTCATATACCCTTGCAGCTATTTCAAATATTAAATATTTTGAAAACACTAAAATTATGATTTACATGCGTATATGCTTAAAAGCATTGAATCTATGATGACTTGCAGCTCAGTTATTCGATAGTTCCTACGACAGCTATAAAATATTATTTTCTGATTTTAATGTATATAAAAACTTTATTCAGCACTGTTAAACTATTAATAATGCATAAAGAATTTTAAAAAAAATTACAATA